ACACACACACTCGCTCGTTCACTCTCGCTCTCCCTCTCTCACCCGCTTGTTCTCTCTATCTATCTATCTATCTATCTATCTATCTATCTATCTATCTATCTATCTATCTACCTATCTATCTATCTATCTATCTATCTATCTATCTAGCGTAATAGTATGACATTCAGGTATTATTTTCAGATAAAGTGGGTGCTGTTTACATCCCTCCAGGGGCAAGAACTAGTCCTGCGGCCCCGCAATAAGAGTTGGGAAAACCGATCTGAGATACTCATGATCTAGGTCACGGTCATCCGGAGTCAAAGCTGCTTTGGGGTAGAGCTGGGCGAAGAATCAATTCCGAAACGGATTCCCACGACTAATACAACGGTTGAAAAGTTCCCTTTCAGGAATCCCAACGGTTACCAGTTACTTTATTCATTAAAATCTTCGTGTTTTAAAAGAATTTATCTTTGAAAAATAAAAGTTGCTTCGGAGTGTTCCGAAATCAAGGTTATCATAAATCCTGAAGACTGAAGATGTTCGGAGCCAACCAGGTAACCACTGGAAGAAATCACATCATTAGAAAGTAAGCAATTGGGATCGGAGTCGATTCCTACGATTCCTAGCTTTCAATAATCGGGAACCTAGCCGCCCAGCACTACTTTGGGGGCTCTCGTGGCTTTAAGGTGTTCGCCTCTCATTCAAAGATACCGGTTTCGAATCCGGGTAGCGACGGACTAATTTTCTTCTCTAAAAGTGTCTCCTTTCACGTCCTTTCGTGCTCTCTAGCAGTGTTCTGTCGTCTGTTTTCGTCTCCACTTTCTACTCCCACCTCCTTTGCCCTCCTGACTCTTTCTGCAGCCTTTTTACTGCCACTTCTTTGCTTCTTCTTACTACTTCGCCGCCACACGGGCAAAATTCAAAATTTCCTATCAACAGAAAAATTAATAATTGGTGTGTCTCGCGCGCTCATAATATGACCTTATGCAGTTGCGAGCGCCGTAAAACACTTACCAAAAACAAAAATAAAAAATAAAAAAGCTGCTTTTGACGCTCTAACGATCTACTTTGAGAGAATGTTTGGTATACCGGCGCCAATACAAAAGCACCGCTTTAATATGTTTCCACGGTCCTCAAAGAGAGAGAGAGAAATGACACCTTTATTCACGCTGACAGTCATATTTCCATTTCATGACCTGATCGAATCCATTGCATTAAACATTGAACCTCGCTGAGTTGTTCTTTTCAGTTCTCACAATCTTTTCTGTTTCTACTAACTCTTTCAATATCTTTGTCTTTCTGTCTGTCTGTCTATTTGTCTGTTTGTCTGTCTGTTCAGTTGTCTGTCTTTCTTCCTATCTAAGTATACACACCCCTTTCAATCTCTCTCTCTCTCTCTCTCTCTCTCTCTCTCTCTCTCTCTCTCTCTCTCTCTCTCTCTCTCTCTCTCTCTCTAAAAAAAGGACAAACTCAAAGGACAATTAATAAGTCTGTAATCTCTAGACATTTAACTAGAAAGGGGAAAAATGGGGGGGGGGGGGGGTAAAACATCTTTCAATGAGAAAAAAAATACATTTCTATGTTCGACCAATATCAAGTTTTAATAAAGAATCAACAGAAAATAAATAAAACACAAAACTTTGCAATTTCTTTAAAACCAACCGTACTGTTATAATATTATTTCAAAAAGTCACTATTTGTGCATTGAAGAGCAAACTCATACAAAATCATGAGGTCAAAATACTCAGGGATGTTATGAAAGTCTCCAGGTATAGACCGTTTCTCTTCTTACAAGTTTCAATACGCCACTGGAAATTTTTAATAACCCCGCGGCATGTTTTTGTGTCGATTCTTTGGGCGTCCTGTTCGAATTGAAGTTTCAGTTGCTCTATCGTTTGTGGCCCGTTTCCATAGACTGAAAAAATCCTCAAGGGTAATAATTGAAAGGGCTTACGTTTGGGGAAATGTTATGACCATTTATTTGTGAACTTTCGGCTTATAAGGCATTCCCAAAACCTTTGTTTCAACCACATAAAGGGCCACTCTTTACATTTGAGGTGTGGCCATCTCAATGGAACGAGGCCTCTACAATATAACTCCTCCTCCTCCTCCTCCTCCTCCTCAAACTCCTCCACAACGGTGATATACCCGTCTGGCGTGACTGTCACGGTGATATACCCGTCTGGCGTGACTGTCACGGTGATATACCCATCTGGCGTGACTGTCACGGTGATATACCCGTCTGGCGTGACTGTCACGGTGATATACCCATCTGGCGTGACTGTCACAGTGATATAATGATCTGGTGTGACTGTTACTGTGACATACCCATCTGGTGTGACTGTCGTGGTTTTACCGCCTTTATCCTGAAATCAGAACGGATAGATCACGTCCCTGGAAGTTGCTTTTAAGAAGTGAATTTCTGGGTTTTACCCACTTTTTGGTTGAATTCTTGTTAAAAACTGGGTATTTCTCGAACGTGTTAATGGATTTTCTTCACATTTACACCGTTGATGTCATTCTCGTTAAATTTCATTTGTTCCAAGTTTTGTTGAAATTAATGAAATGATGACCAGGTTATTGTCCTGCCTTTAAATGGATCCTCTTTTTTAGACACTGTATGAAAATCTAGTGTCTCTCTTTCCCGCAAAGGTGGTGAATTTCAGAAACACTGAGTGCCATGTAGTTAAATGCAATAGTTGTATTTTTCTGTCTCGGGTCTCTCTTTCCTCTTGATTTGCTCAAATACGTTTCATTTACAATAAATGTTCGCGAACTCATAGTCTTATTTTCACCAAGGTATTGATTAGGTGCTACTAGTGTCAGACCTCAGCCATTTGTCATTTTGATATACTATTCACTCGCACGTAAGATTTGGTCTTTAAATGTGTGACTAGCATGTGATATATATTGCAACGAAAATGAAACTTCTAAGATTATAACCTCCAGAATTAGTCCACACTTGCTACCGTAAGTTAACAACCGAAATATATGTGAGGCAGCGTGGCGGAATCAGGCTCTCGTCAAAATAATGAAATCGAAGAAAACAGCAGTTTTCTCACTGCTTAGTAATTTTTATCAAATTTTTTTTTTGCCTCAACACCTTTTATGTCCATTTACAAACACATTCCTTTGAGGATTGCACCGAGAACTTTGATTAAAGCACAAAATTATAAATTTACAGTTTCCATGGACTATCCACCTTTGGAATTTACCAAGCTTTGGTGGCTATTTTCTCGCTACTTTTACCTCTTAAATCAGGTGACCCCCACCTCCTTCAATCCAAAATATCTCCACATCTATTGAAGATGGATGGGTAATTGTTTTCATTGAAAGCAAGACAAATGAACTGGCTTTAAGATGATACCAATAACTCTACATGCCCAAAAATTGACAAGAGCCTGATTCCGCCATGCTGCCTCACATTATATTCTCATAGAAAAGACCGCAGTCTATCGTGTAGCACTTAAGCATTTCGTCGTTGCTCGCCGAAGACTCATGTTTGATTCCAGCGGGAGTAGAGTTTTAATTGAATATCTCCATCTTTTCTGCTGTGACATTGTATCCCCTTGGCCCCTTACAGGCAGGGTCGAAGCAGCCCGCCTCCTCTCCTCCTACACGACGAACATTGGGCTGATGGGGACATAAAACACCGACATGAAAGGACCAAAATGATGAAAAGGTCCTCTGCTCTTTTCTGCGCAGGAAAAAAACCCACACCTACATTGTTTTGTTTTGTTTAGTTTTTTTTCATTGCTGGGAGAGCAGAAATAGAGATTCGCCAAGCCTTTATCTGCCTAACCGATTTAAAATTCATCAAGGGCTTCCTTCATATCTTGAACGGCCATCTTTACTGGGCTTCTTCTTAAGAAGCTCTTTAGTTCTTTCCGAAATAGGAAATCTCGGGGAAAAAACCCATCGCAGACGAGAATACATTTCCTAACATTAACCTAGCTGCAAGCAATACGTTATTATTGTATCTCGAGTTAGAAAAGTTCAACTGTTTCCAACATTCTCTGTCTGTCTGTCTGTCTGTCTGTCTGACTGTTTGTCCCAATATGGATACTATTTTTTACTTTCATCATTGATTTTGTCTACCATCCTGCTCTTCAAATGTGGTTTTGTACTGTTGCAAAAAAGTGTTCAGTGAGAAACTTCTGTCACTGTTACAACAAAAGTCTGCTGTCATTTGAGGAGAGTTTTTTTGGCTGCTTGTATTTTCTCTCAGTTCCCCAAAGACAAAGAAACCAAAAGCAATCTACAATTTGGAGTGGGTGAGTAAATAAGAAAGAAAAGGTCGGAAAAAATGGAGGCGAGGAATTCTGAAAGCGAAATGATAATTATCTTCAAAAAACGACCAACTCCTAGGGTTGAAAAAAGGGAGGGGAGGGGAAGATGGAAGAAAACGAGTGGAGGGGGGATGGGAGAGAGAGAGAGAGAGAGAGAGAGAGAGAGAGAGAGAGAGAATGAGTGAGAGGGCGGAGGGAGGGAGTTAGAAAGATAAGAGAGCGAGTGAGAAACACAGAGAGCAAGAGAGAAAAAAAAAGAGGGAAAAGGCTATCGTTAAAAATCAATTAATATTTTTATAGCGCTCCTCCAAAGCCGGCCAAAAGGGCAAGAACCGAGATTTGACACCTGTTTTGTGAGACCGTTAAAGGGTGTAGGTAAGTAACGTACGGCGTATACAGGGGACTATCTAGGGCCTATTGATCCAAGCCTACACCTGTGAAAAGGCGAATGGTGGAGAGGAATTGGGAATGAGCAGACGGAGAGAGTTGGGCCGCCCGCGAGGGGGGACAACGAGGTTCTTCTTTTGTCAGGCACACACACACACACACACACACACACACACACACA